CAGAGGATCCCCAAATCCAGGTGTGAAAAACTTGTTGCATCTTTCCCAAAAAGACTCATGGCTGTATTAGATCAAAAGGGTGCTTCTACTAAATACTGAGCAAAGGGTCTGAATACTTAGGACCATGTGATATTTCAGTTTTTCTTTTTTAATAAATCTGCAAAAATGTCAACGATTCTGTGTTTTTCTGTCAATATGGGGTGCTGTGTGTACATTAATGAGGAAAAAAAATTAACTTAAATGATTTTAGCAAATGGCTGCAATATAACAAAGAGTGAAAAATTTAAGGGGGTCTGAATACTTTCCGTACCCACTGTACACCTAGGATGCTTTGAGGGTGAGTAAAACACAGGCTAATTTAAATTTTTGGGTGAACTAACCCTTTAACGGCTCAGAAACAGCTGATTCGGCATCAGCCAATCAGAGCGTTGATCCGCAGCTGGCCTGGAAACCCAGTGTCTCCGGTGAGAGTAATCACCCCACTCTCCGTAACGAGTTCAGCTGGGAGGTCTTATTTTACCTCAAGCATGCTCAGAGTCACAGTGAGGCTGCTGCAGCCATGCAAGAGATATAATAAACATGCAAATGTTGTAATAAACCCATGTGACCTGTGATCTGCTGTATGTTGAGTGTAGAGAACATGCATCTGCTTCATGCAACCCTATATAGTACATACACTCATGCACAAACAGACCCACAGGTTTCATGAAACATTCTCAAATATGTAGCTATTAATGCACACATTACAGCTGAACAATATTTAATGCAAATCAGTGCCATAATTTCTACTATGTAATTGTGTAATATTGTAATTTTGTAATGTTGTAAGTTTTTTTTTCTCTTTGTGTGTGTGTGTGTGTGGGATGCCTCATACCGGCAGAAAATTCCTTGTATGTTATGCATACCTGGCCAATAAATGTTGTTGTAATGTGTTGCACGTTATAAAGTGTGCAGTCAAAATATTTAATTACTAATTTTTTATTTTTTATCTCTTCAAAAATTTTTACATTCTTAATATTAATCTTAATATTTACGATTTTAATATAAGAATCAAATTCAGACTGATTTGACTGATTATGACTGATTTGTTTTTTGTACAAATCTCAAAACAGTTTCATTGTTTTTATTAATTAATTTATTGTTTTTTTGTCTCTTCATTTTGACATTGATATCAGGAAAAAATTGTGACTATTTCTAAACTATTTCAAGAAAGGGTGTACATGTGTTTTCTTAAATATATTATATTATTATTACTTTTAAAATATTAGTTTATAATTTTGTTGAACATATAGCTGAGAGGACTGCCACATTCACAGAATTAAAATCACATTAATATTTTTAAAATCACTGTCATGGCAAAAAAAAAAAAAAAAAAACCAACCGGCGGCAATCGCGGAACTCCTCCCCGAACTTCCCGCTGCCCTGTATCTTGGTCTCTCATTGGCAAAATTATTGATTTATATTATTAATTAAAAATTTATTTCAAAATAAGAAATATAATCAGAATTTTTATTGCTTTAATTTGATTTATTTACAATTATTTATTTATTATTTATTAATTTAATGCTAATTTGCACACATTATAAAGTGTGCAGTCATAACATTCTGTGAGTGTGCAGTCATAACTTATTCTGTTTTTGTTATTAAATTTGTCTTTAATTTCTTTTGTTACTTTGTCTTTTCCTCATTTTGACATTTAAATCAGAAAAGATGCATTGCTATTATTATGCAATATATATATTTGTAATATTATTTTATTATTTTGTAAAAAATATAATTGAGGGGACTGTATGGGATCAGATTCCCGCCAAATGTATTGCAGTCACGGATAAAAAAAAGAACAAGCGTGAAACCAAAATTTAAAAACGCAAGTAAAATTATATTGCACAAAATTTAAAAATGAAAGCAAAGTTTTCAGAATAGCAAACAATGGTTAAATAATAAGTGTAAATCAAAAATGTAATAACGCATCTAAAAAAATAAGCATGAATCAAAACTTTAAACACATTTAAAATCATATTGCACAAAACTGAAATATTAATGCAAAATTATCCGAATTGCACACAAAATCATGTTTTCCTTGGTTATATATTTCTCTGTTTTTGTGCTCTCAGACATTTTCTGCACATATTTTTTATTTTTGTATGCTTATGCTGTTTTTCCCTTTGCTCTTTATTCCACATTCTGCGCTTCTTCTTCCAAATGTTGCGGTTAGAGTTTCATGTAAATCAGGGAGGGCTAAAACATCATCATTGGTCCACTAGTTCTAGATTGAGAGCTCCTCCTCTAGCCAATCAGTCGAAGAGGGGCACCTCATTACTGCCGATGCTCAGTGTTCTGTTTACTTGTACCGGTGAAAATGGACAACTGTCAGCTGGGAAACATCTTTCCATACAGGTGGTCAGCGCGAGCATCGCCATGCCATGTTGTTTAAGTAGATATTTAGATACGACAGAAGTACAAAGCCTTCTTTACAAAATAAATAGGCTAATAGTTTATCAACCAAATGTTACACCGCGTCTAACGATTCACTCATGGAAATGAGAGGTATGTGAGCCCAGCAGGAGGTTCAGTTTTTAGTTTCGTTTGAAATGAGTTAGGCTTAGCATTTAAAATAAATGTTGTTTGTAAAGAATGGCACTATAATTTATTGTATGACATACAGTTAAGCAAAACACGAGGAAGAGTGTTTTTCCTAATATCAGGACCATTGCAAATGTTTATTAAACTGAATCAGTATAACAAGAAGTATATTTTGAGTGAGTTTACTATTAATAGTAACTATTTTCTCATTTTATTCCATTTCGACAGAGTCCAAACAAAGCCACAGCAGAAGTGTCCTCTACAAGCAATACAGCAGCCTTTCATATTGAATGATTCACTTTATTCCTCACTGAATGAATCAGCCATTTGAATGAATGATTTAATGTCTTATTCTAAAGACAGTAACTTACCGCCACCTACTGGCTGTTTTACTTTCATATTGTTGTTATGTATAACTTTATGTATTTGAAACATTAATATGATAGTGTTAGGCAATTATATATGTAGATATGCAAATAAACACAACAAATGTGTTTAAAGTTTTGATTCGTGCTTACTATTTTTTTTTAAATGCGTTATTAAATTTTTGATTTACACTTATTATTTTTTGATCCGTGACCATTGTTTGCTATTCTGAAAACTTTGCTTTCATTTTTAAATTTTGTGCAATATAATTTTACTTTTTGTGTTTTAAAATTTTGGTTTCACGCTTGTTCTTTTTTTATCCGTGACTGCAATACATTTGGTGGGAATCTGATCCCATAGGACTGCTGCAGCCACTGTAATAAAATCACATTACCATTAATTATTCTTAAAATCACTGCATCTTGGCAAAAGTGCCATCCACATTTTAAAAACCATATTTTCATTAATTTCCTTAATTTAAAAATAAATTTAAAAACGAAAAATTCAACCCGTTTATTACTTCAATTTTAATTCGTTTTACCATCTATATTTCTTGCTTTGTATACAAAAAACGCAATTGTTGTCCTCAATCTCTAATACATTGCATTATAACTGGTTAATTTTAGTCCCATAAATTTATCCATAGCCTAATCACAACAGTTCAGGTGATGTTAATTGTGTTAGCTAGATATTAGCAGAGTCATTATTAGTCTTCATTCATTGAACAGCCAATATTATTCTTGGCCAAAGATGGTTATCTTCCAAATACTGTTGGCCCAAAGCTTTCCTACAGCCCTGCTGCTCTTCATGACGACGGTGACTGTGAAGAACCACAAACACTGCTGTTCAGCTCAAACACTGTGCTCGTCTGACTCAACTCCTTTCACTTTCACAGAATCTCCCACCATTTACTACAAACTCACCCTATTCTTGTGGATATTTGGCATTGAAACACTGTTTAGAGGACATTACCCATAATCCTTTGCTGCTTTGATTTGCATACACAGTCTGACTTACAGAAAAGAGGTTTCCAACGCAGTTTTGACTTTTAAATGTTAGTGAATGTCATTTGTAATGTAAGTTATTGCTATTATTATTGAAAGATCCTACTTTTTTGTATTATTTTGATGAATATGTTTGGTCTTTTTAAGGTGGCGCTGCTGGGTATGGACATAGTATCTGCTTTAGTGACCAGACTACAGGAACGCTTCAAAACACAAATAGGAACAGGTGAAAATGTTTCTATAATAATAATAATAATAAATGATTATTGTTATTATTTTTATGGTTGAATATTTATTTTATTTATATATTATTAATAATTATATTAATATAATACAATAATATATATATATATTAATATATAGATTCATATTTATTTTATAATATTACTTTTTTTTTATATTACAATGATTAAAATGTACTCTTTAAAATTTAACACTTTTTAAGTAAATATTGTAAAGTTTTATGTATTTGATCACTTATTTTAAACAATTTTTTGTGACAATACAGATGCTAATAATTTCATCTAATCATCATAATATGTGTTATTTTTGTTTTTCTCTCAGTTCTGCCCAGTTTAATTGATCGTTTAGGCGATTCTAAGGACCAGGTTCGAGATCAAGCGCAGTCACTTCTATTAAAAATCATGGACCAAGCGGCCAATCCGCAGGTGAGACCCTCACAGCGGACTGCTTTAGAGTAATATGACATCAATTGTGGCTAAAACTTATGAAAGTATTATTGTTTGCAGTATGTTTGGGACCGAATGCTGGCCGGATTCAGACATAAAAACAACCGGACCAGAGAAGCTGTTTGCTTTTGCCTTATTGCCACTCTTAATGTGTATGTACCTGTGTTCTTTTAATATCATTCAGGGTTTTTATTAATGATCGACCGATATTGATATTTTATAACCGATACCGATACCAATTATTTGCATGTTTATGTGCCCGATAACCGATATGCAGAACCGATATTTAATGTTAATTCACTGAATAATATTCTCTGGAATATTGAAATATAACAAACAAAACATCGTATTTTATTGCATTTCTCAACTGGCATGTTATATCAGAATTACTAATAATGTTTTTGTCGTTCTAGATTATGAAATGCCTGCTGACAGCGCAGTTTATCTATGCATTTACACAGAACTATACTCAAACTGCGATCGCTCTTGGAGATAATAAATCATTCATTTCCATAGAGTTGTATCTATTTAGATGTTTATTAGTGAAATAATGGTTATATAGTTAATGTTAATACAATTTAGGGTGTTTTAAACAAGTGAATCTTGTTAAAAGTTACATGCGGTGGCCGTGCTGGAGCATTTCCTGAGCATCAACCCGGTGAGTGAACAGCAATATGAAAGCGGCTTCGAGAGACTAATGATGAGCATAGACAACAGACAGAGAATTAAATTGAGCGCTTTTATTTCCAACATGCGCTCATTCATGGCTGTATTATTTAATTATTTCCAACATGCGCTCATTCATGGCTGCATATTATTTAATTCACGCAAAGTTACGTCTTTATCGGGACAGGACTTGACGGATTATGTTACGTGACTCCGTGAGTTCGTCTCTATTTCTTCGAGCCAAGCTGCATAAACTGCATATCAGCATCATTTATGTAATGCATCATTTATGTAATGCATCTAATTTGTGCATTAATGGCTGGTATGTTAAATAAAGTTTACTAACTACAGTAAATCAAGTACCTGTGCACGCCGTTGTTGTTGCCTTGTTTCCCCTCAGACGCACTGCAATGTTGATCCTGCGCACAATTCTCAAAATATCCACAAGATGGCGGTGTTTATCGGTGAATCCGATGTTACAAAACCGATATCCGATTATTGTAAAATGCTTACATATCGGGAACAATACCGGTAAATCGATATATCGGTCGATCTCTAGTTTTTATTAATATTTTGAATAATTTTTTATTGTGATATTTTGTTTTTTCTTCTTCTTCTTTTTCTTCTTCTTCTTCTTTTAAAATAATTCTAGGTGTTTTAGTGATTTTTTTATGTGCTTTTTTCATTTTTAGTTAAAAAAAAAAAGTTTTTATACATTTTTATTCTTCTTCTTCTTTTAAAATAATTCTAGATGTTTTAGTGATTTTTTATGTGCTTTTTTCATTTTTAGTTAAAAAAAAAAAGTTTTTATACATTTTTATTTCAGTTTTTGTTTATTATTTTAGTACGTCAAGTTAAACTAAATTAAAATAAGTTGCATTGGCAACTATTTGAAATAAAAATGAATGAAATCAGTATTTTATTTCAGGTAACATACAGCACATTTATTGTATGGTTTTAGTTTCAGTATTAACTCACCAATTGTAGTTTTATTCAAAATTGTATTTGTTCTCATGTTCTGCAGATCCGGAGCTCACGGTTTAACCCTTAGCAAGATAGTTCCTCATATTTGTCATCTGTTAGGAGACCCAGCGAGTCAGGTGAGAGGGTTTTGTTCTGCTCTTCCTCAGATCACTGGGTTTGTAGCGTCCCCTGCTGGTCATCACAGGAACTGCTGCTGACATCCACAGCACTGTGGCTATACCATGGTATAGTGATGGAAATACCATGCTATTGTGATTATATAACATGTTATTGAATGTTTACTGTATTCAATCATATTAACATGCCACTATATAGATATATGGAGTACCACAATGCAATGCAGGTTGCGATTGTTTAGTATAATATTTTGTGTAGTTTCACATAATCTATGCTGTGCATCAAGCAGCGCTTCTGAACAGTTTTTGAGCGTACTGTTAAAAGCATCTGATGAATGACTGGATGTTTCTGGTCAGGTTCGTGACGGTGCAATGAACTGTCTGGTGGAGATTTACAGACACGTCGGGGAGAGAGTGAGGGTGGATCTGGGGAAGAAGGGGCTGCCGCAGTCACGGTAATAAATCCACATCAATAACAGTTATTATTATTAAAATCACGTCCTCATAGCAACAGTGTCAACCACATTTTACAAAACAGATTTTTATGTAATTTATTACAAATGCATTTTAATTTTTGTTTTGTTTTAATTTATTGTTATACTTTATTTTTAACTAAATTTAATTTAATAAGTGTTATAAAAAAATGGTTTTACTTATTTATTGTGCCAATATTGTGTGATTTTTATTCTTCATCTTTTTTTTGTTACTGTGCCATCTACATTTTACAAAACATTTTTATGTAATGTATTGAAAATGTATTAAAAATTTTATTTTTATCATTTTAATTTGAATGGGAATTTAATATATATATATTTTTATTTTTATGCATTTTTAATGTAATTATTTTTTGAAAGTTATTTAAAAAATGTTTTTTTTTTTTTTATACATTTGCATAAACTACGTCATAGTTTTGATGTCGTATGCTTTTTTATACTTTATCATTTCTTTTTATTTTTTCCGCTACAGTGCCATCCATATTTGACAAAACATTATGTAATCTTTTGAAAATGTATTAAAATTTGAGAAACATTTTTTTGTTTTAATTTGAACGACAATTTAATTTTAACTTTTCAAAACTATAACACCATTTTTAATTTAATGATTATGAGTTATTCTAAAAATAAAAACTGTAATTAATTTATATTTTCTTAATTGTCTTTGGTTTTATTTATTTACAGTGCACAAACCATTCATAGTTTTGATATTGTATACTTTTTATAAAATGTTTACTTTTTATTTTTTGTTTAATTAATCAATCAATTTATTTATTTATTTTTTGTGCTGTTTATAAATCCCTTTATGATTTATTTAGTAAAAAGGCTTATAAAAGAACACTTTATTGTTTGCTGTGTTGCAAATTTGACAGATAAAGTACTGACAGTCTTAGTGTGTATTTGTGTTTGATTTCTGCTCTTTTCTGATGAGCTCTAATGAAGTCTTTCTTCGGTCTGTTTTGTTCAGATTGAATGTGATTTTCAGCAGGTTTGATGAAGTCCAGCGGTCTGGGAACATGATCCTGTCCTCAGGTGAGTCAGTCTTGTTATAACTGATGTCACACATGATAATCTGTGTGATGTAATAAGACACTGTTGGCTGTAAATCACTTTCTATCACTGTGAAAGCGTATGAAAGCAGTATCAGGTGCTGTATGACGTTACTGGCACATAAACGGTGTTTTTTTCTGTGTGTGTGTGAAATGCTCGCCGCTGAGATTGTCCCCATTGTTAGGCCATTGTTTCCTCGCTGCCCCAGTTTCAGTGTGTGTGTGTGTGTGTGTGTGTGTGTGTGCGCGTGTGTGTCAGTAGAGAGGGAGTCACTGCAGACGAGAGCAGCGCTGTGTGTGTGTGTGTGTGTGTGTGTGTGTGTGTGTTCAGTCACAAGACTAGAGAAACACACAGCAGAGCTTCATTACTGCAGATCAAGCCTCCGTCATGACAGCAGGGGACGGTAAGATCATGTGAACGTTACTGCTCTGGATGTGTTTCAATAGAGCGCTGCAGGTGCATTGAAGACGTTTGTTGCATGTAATGCATGTGAGGATCAAGCGTTCAGGGTTTGGTCTTATAGTCACTCTCATTTCTGCATCTTCTGAATGTCTCGAGCTCATCTCGTATCTCTTTTTTCTTCCGTTTACAGGCTGCAAATGACTTGAAATCAGCATCATTAGCATATTAATGCTGTTTTAATGGCTTGTTATGTGGCGTTCGGTTCCTGTGAGTTTTTGAGCCGCGTCTCAGGTGTCTGAAGTGCTCTGAAGTATTCATGATCATCGACTTAATATTTGATACTCTGCGACTCAGTTCAGGATCTTTTTAATATCTGGAGGTTCTTCTAGAGCAAAATATTCCTGTTATCACCTTGTTTTTACCTGGAATTTACATCTCGAATGTGTTCACTAGTGATCGGGTTTCTGTCTTTGAGGAGACGCTCTCTGATTTTGTGACTAACATTTATATAAAGTGCAAAATAAAATGCACTGGAAAAGGTTTGCACAAATTACACAAAATGTAAGTTGCATAAAAACATAGACTGATCTAATTTAATAGAGAAGATTTAAACTGATAATCCCTTGACTAACTGTGAGTTGTCTGAGTAGTTTATTCTTAACATAGTGCTGTTTTGATCCCAGATTACAAAACATTCTTGTAATCAAGTTAATGCAAATTTACATTCCACTTGAGATATTTAAATTTAAAGTAGAAACTAAATAAGATGTTAAAGACCAATTTTTCTGAAAATTCTAAAACTAAAACTGAAAATCATAACAAGCGAACTTTGGAAACCATGGTTTTACTCAAAAAAAAGAAGAAAAAAAAGAAACATGGTTACTATAGTTTAACCATGGTATTTGCAATAAAACTGTGGTTATACAAAAAAACATGGTTACTACACTTTTACTATAGTAAAACCACGGTTAATTTTTTTTAAGGAATTTGTATTTGTGTATACTTTCTTTTTTCTTTGTTTTGTTTTTAAAATTGTACTACCTTAATGGTTTGATGTTTTCTACTGTTTAATAATAATAATAAAAAAAAATAAAATAAAAAAAAACAATTCGCTAAATCAAATGATTCGCGAAGTGCCGATCTGAATCAAAAGATTCACGGACCCTCTCCAAATTTCCGATCTTAAACAAATGATTCATGAACCTGCTCCAAAGTTCCGATCTAAATCAAATGATTCGCGAACCCGCACCGAAGTCCCAGCCTAAATCAAATGATTTGCAATATGCAAAGTTCCGATCTGAATCTAATGATTCGCGATACGCCATCTGATTGGAGCGTAAGTGACTTTTCTTTTTATTTTAAAGATGCTTTCTTTGGATTATTTGAATACTTAAAAGAGAATATAGGGAAATATTAGCTACATCATTAATTTTTGTGTTTGCTGTTGGCTACATTTCACATTCACAAAAAAAGTTTTACTGGCTCTAAACCTCTCTTTTCTTTATTCAAAGTGGACTTAGACAAGTATATGGAAACTATCCAAAGTTCTGTTAATTTGAAAGCATTGAAAACTGTTTCTTATATTTGTCCTTTGTGTCTTGAGATGTAGCCTAATAGTAGCCTATTAGGGCAGCTATGTTTTTATCCTGGCAACAAGTCTGTTTATTTTAGCAAACCCCAGGCTGCTGACTTCAACATTCTGCTCGCCTCATTTGATCTTAAGCGAGTGTCTACTATGGCTACTCACAAATCAGGTAACCAACTGGACCTCATCTACACACGCTATTGGGACACTTGAGCGAGTTGTGTTCAACCAACTCTCCATGTTTCTTGCACAGAACAACCTCCTGGACAGCAACCAATCTGGCTTCAAAAGCGGCCACTCAACTGAGACTGCCCTGCGCTCGGTTACTGAAGCCCTGAGACTGGCAAGACCAGCTTCCAATTCCTCAGTACTCATCTTGCTGGATCTGTCTGCTGCTTTTGACACAGTTAACCACCAGATTCTCCTGTCCACCCTCAGAAAAATGGGCATCTCAGGAACCGCACTCCTGTGGTTCAAGTCCTACCGCTCAGGTAGGTCCTTCGGGGTGTCTTGGAGGGGTGAGGTTTCTAAGTCACAACTTCTTGCTACTGGGGTTCCTCAAGGCTCAGTGCTTGGACCTCTTCTCTCTCAACCTTACTAAGACAGAACTGCTTGTGGTTCCAGCAAACCCATCGTTTCATCACAGCTGCTCTATACAGCTGGGTTCATCAACCATAACTCCTTCCAGGACAGCCAGAAACCTAGGAGTTGTGATTGATGATCAGTTAAGCTTCACTGACCACATTGCTACAATGGCCCAGTCCTGCAGATTTGCCTTATACAACATTAGTAAGATTAGACCCTTCCTGTCAGAGCAAGCCACACAACTCCTTGTCCAAGCTCTTGTTCTCTCCAGACTGGACTATTGTAATGCTCTCTTGGCGGGCTTTTCCGCATGCACTATCAAGCCTCTGCAACTGATCCAGAATTCAGCAGCGAGAGTGGTCTTCAATGAGAAATAAAAAACTAAATTAATTAATTAAAAAAAACCTAGCTACGTGTATTGTGCTAGACTAACTGAGACTTGTCATGGCACTTGTATACTGTTGTTCTCTCGTTGGTCTGATTGCTTCTAATGTTCTCATTTGTAAGTCGCTTTGGATAAAGGCGTCTGCTAAATGATTAAATGTAAATGTATTTTTTGTCTTTCTTTTATTTTGCCATTTTGTTTATAAGTATATTGTCTTAATTGTTTGATTTATGTACTGATGTGTAATAAAAAAAGTCATCTGATTGGAGCGATTCGAAACAGTGAATCATTTTGTGATTCAATGGTTTAACTGATTCAGAGTTTCGAAAAGCTCCGTTTCACCCACCACTACATGCTTTTTAAAATGATTACAAATGATGTCGAAATTCCAAAATGAATTGCTCGTTTGATCTGGTTTTTGCCAGTGAATCGCTTGAACTGGATGATCGAACACATTTGAGTTTGAATCATTTGGAGCGGTTCCAGATATATTTGAAATAGTTTGAGCTACAGTTCAATAGAAATCATTTGAAAGCATCCAGTCTCAAATACCATTGAAGTAAATGTTCAGTTAGACTTGAATAGGTTTTTAATCAAGTTTAGTTTTTGAATTTTTAGAAAAAATGGGTATTAAATATCTTCCATTTTAAATGGTAAAAACTCAAGTATAGTTTTTGCCATCAAAAAAGCTGGCATGGCATTAAAACAAACAAACAAACAAACAAACAATACTAGGACAGTGTTCATCTGTTTTTATCATCCATCAGAGTTTCACAAGTTTAATACTATCACTAAAATAAGCACTAGTGATGCTTGACTTTACAACCATAAAAAATCGGTTAATAATAGTCTATAAAGTGTTTCAAGGTGTTTCAGTAACTGTAATGAATAGAAAATGAGCCACTTTTTTTTCTGAGGTTTGTGATTTCCGAGACTGAATGTTGCTTTTGTGCTGCGTTTCTCAGCTGCCAATTAACATGCTGTGATGAACAGAAGTCTGTACATGTGAATCACAGAGAGAGAGGCCTGTGCAGTTTAAGACGGTCTTAACACCGTTTTAATGAAAGCGTGTGCTCGATAGAGAAACGCTGAAGGGATTTCGCTGTGTTTACAGCATCTTGTGTGTGTTTTGTAAGAGTGAAAGTGTGTGTGGGACGTTTTGAGATCAGCCCACACACACACACCGCAGCAAAAAATAAGCAGCTTTGGATTGGACGCACAGCTCAAATAGGACATTTTTTCACCTTCGCTCGGTCCAGCTACTCGTCACTTCATACGCAACACTTTAAGTAGGTTAGAGAGCGATTTGGAGGAAAAATGAGCACCATTGCTCAGCTATTGTGTGTTTTTGCCTTGAAGGAGGGAGAAGGATCATGTTGTTTGATGCATTAATGCACACGCAGATACGGAGCAAAACCTATCATCATTCACCCTAAAATCAAATGAAATTATATTTTGCATGAATAAAATGAAGCCTAGGACCATTTACATTTTTCCATTATGACTTTATTTTCAGGACAATTAAGTAGATTTAAATTAAATTATTTCTAATGTAAAGAGAAAAATGCATTTTTATTTATAGATTGTGCAGTATTTATTGGTTAGGATGGGTTCTTGTTGAATGCTGAAATAAAATAAAATACAAAATCAAATATATTCTCATTTTCGTTTAATTTAAGTTACTACATTTTAAGTTTAGTACAGTATATAGACATATTAAAAAAGTGACAAAAACACAACAAAAATGCTAAAACTTGAACTAAAATTAAAATGAAAACAGAAAATATAAAAAAATTAAATCTAATTGAAAATATTAACAAAAACTATAATAATATATTAGTAATACTAAAATAGCACTGAGTCAGAAATATATCCATCAAATTGATTAATTTGTTGCATAATGGACTTTAAAAAAATGTTTTTAGGGTGAAGTTTGAGATAATATTGTGTAAAAAAAATATATATACATTTTTGTCTCATTAGCTGGTATAAATGTATTATATGTGAATTTTGGCATGATATCAG